TTTCTGAGCCTTGGTTTTCCTGTCTTTTAGATGAGGGTAGCGACTCCTGCCCCACCTGCACACATGCACACACATCTACTCCATTTCTGACTGTGGTCCCCTCGGCCCTAGGGTGTTTGGGATGTTCCGCCAAGCCAGTGACCGAGAGGCCGTCTACGCCTGCTTCACCTTCTCCCACTGGCTGGTCTATGCCAACAGTGCAGCCAATCCTATCATCTACAACTTCCTCAGTGGTGAGTGGGCTGGGGAGGCGGGGCGACCGAGGGTGGCAGCGGTGCCCAGGACAACAGGCTGCCAACCCCCAATCCAGGCTGAATAAAGGGATGGCCCCTAATCCCTCCTGGGGATCGTCGTGAGCTTGCTCTGGGAACCCGCATCAGGAAAGACTCGGCCCTGCCCAGGAGCCCTGGTCTGAGTGGAAGGCGGGCCTCACTCCCACCAGCGGCCCGGATCCAGTTGTACAGATTATGCAGACCAGTGAGGGGGTGGGAAAGGCAGGGGCTAGGCCAGCTCACCTCCACCCCCGCCTGGTGCCTGCACAGCGGGACCTCCAGTCGGCCGGTCTGGCCAACACAGGCTCCAGAAGGAGCCAGGCCTGTGGGAAGAGGTGCCGGGAGTGCCTGCCTGGGAAGGTGACTGTGTAACTGAGTCATCGGGGGAAGGGAGGGTCACCAGCAGAGACGGCCCAGGGCCAGGAAAGGGTTTCCCTATGCCCAGCTAGACAGGTACAGGCAGAGTGGCCAGAATACAGAGGGGTTTTCCCTGGATCCACCTGCCCCCAAGACCAGCCATCTTGTCCCCTCTCTGGAAGTCCCCGCGTCTCCACTCCCCCAGCCGTACCCCAGGCCACTCCCCTCTGCGCCCCTCGCTGGACCTCCCAGTCCCGGGATGGTAACCCCTCCACCCTCGGACCCACCTGGGTTCAGCAGAAGAGTGGCTCACAAGACGTCTGGCCCCAGAACTAGGCATAACAAACTGGTCCAGATGGCTGTTCAAGCCTGGGCACAAGTGATCTTTGAGAAAAGGTTGAAAGGCTGAAGAAGGAGGGGCCAGGGGTCTGTACCACAACCCTCATTGAGACTGAAGAAGTATTCCCGGAGCTCAGAGGGGAGAACAGAAGACATAAGGGCTGCGGCAGAGGCGGCAGCAGACTTCTTGCTGGGCATTTCCTGTCTGGGTTGCATTAACTGAGCACCTACTGTGTGCCCAGCCCTCCACTGGGGCCCCACAGAAGCATGGTCAAGGAGGTTTCTGCTCTGGACATCATCTATTTCCCTGGTGTCCCTTGGCTGACCGAGGTGGCTGTGGTAGTCCCTCCTTCCCTACTCTGTCCTCCCCTTGAAGCGAAGGGCTCTGGAATGAGAACCAGGCCTGAACTCTGGCTGGGTGGCCTCGGGCAAGTCTCTGCACCTCTATGCAGCTCCCCTGTGAGGTGAGGATAAAAGCTGCCAGCCTCTCAGGGTGCTGGGATGAGAGGGGGGCGGGGGGGGGGAGGCAGGGGTGCCCGGCACCGTGCTTTGTGCAGGCTGCTGCTGTTCTTTCCATCACCATGGGGCACAGGTAGGGAAAGCCTAGCCCCGGCTGGGGGGCCTGAGCCCCTCCACCTACTCGCCAAGGAGGGCAGAGGTGGCCCCAGGCCCCTGAGCCAGACACCACGTTTTGAGCCCGGCTCAGAGCCAGAGCGCAGTCAAGGAATCAGATGAAAATTGCATTTCTCCTTGGGAGCTGCTCCAGGGCCTCTGTCCTCACTCTCCCTGGCAGTGACGAGGTCGCCTTCGGGCTTTCTCCATCCCAGCTCTGCTCCGCCCTCCCACCCCCTCACAGGCAGCTTGGCTGGAGCTGCGTGGGTGTCCCTGGGCCCAAGGCCCTTCCTGCTTCGTCCATCTCCTTATGGCTGTGTCTTCTGTCTCCAACCAAGGCAAATTCCGGGAGCAGTTTAAGGCCGCCTTCTCCTGCTGCCTGCCTGGCCTGGGTCCCTGCGGCTCTCCGAAGGCCCCCAGCCCCCGCTCCTCTGCCAGCCACAAGTCCTTTTCCTTGCACAGCCGGTGCTCCGTCTCCAAAGTCCCTGAGCACGTGGTGCTCACCAGTGTCACCACGGTGCTGCCCTGAGCGAGGGCTGCCCTGGTGGCGGCAGGGTGTGCAAGCCTTGGGCTTGCTCCTCTGGCTCCTGGGGGACCCACCTCCTCGTGGAGACTGCTGGACGCAGGGGGGAGGCTGGGGCTCCAGACCTGGTTTTCTGCCTGTTTAACTCCGGGCAAGTGACTTCCCTTCTCTGAGCCCTGTCTCCTAAGCAGGATTGATGGGAGGATTAAGCATGCTCGAGAAAGCGGAAAGCCTTTTGTAGATTGGGAAGTGTCATGGATAGGATTATCATATTCCTCTCGAGTGGCTGTGCCCCACGGTACCATCCATCCCCATCGTCCTTCCGCAGCCTGGCCTTCCTCCCAAAGATCCCCCTCCCACCCAATCACAGGCCTTCCCTGGAGTCTGCTGTAAGGGTCCCGGCAGGCATTCCCATCTGGCCGAGTGGCTCCGGCTAAAGCCCAGTTGTTCTGAGGCCCGGGCGAACTAATCTGGGTCCATCCAGCCTTCTCCCAGCGGGAACAGAGCCCCGTCCTCACCAGGCGCCTGGTGCACACACCATAGACTGGACTCTGTTGGCTTTCTGGTGTGATAGAACACTCTCCATGTGGCCATTTGGCATGGAGGCCAGCAGCCTGAAGCAATTGTAATTAAAAGCCTGGCACTGAATGTTCCCTTTCCTTGTCATTGCACAAAATCTGTGCTGCCTAGGTGAGGAGAGAGAAGGTGGGGAAACTTGGGGGAGGGGAGCAGACAGGCAGCACTGGAACGCTAGTATCTGCTGACCGCTCCCACCCCCCACCCCCAACACACTGGATCCCAGAGGGGCTCCTAGCCAGGATTCAGAGCGCACGCGGTGCCGCCCCCTCAGGCGGTGCCAACCCTCCAATGCCCAGGACCCGGATCCTTGCCACATCTGTCCGCTTCTGGGCCTGGCGGCCTCTGGGAGGTAAGGGAGATGGCGGCAGCAGTGTGCGGGGCGGGGAGCGGTGGGCAGACAGCAGGGTTCACAGACTGATTTACTGTTACCTTCCCCTTCTTGGAAACCGGGCTCGCATTTACTTTCTCTGAACTCACAGGATAAAAAGAGAAAGCCGCAGACATGCTCCGTCTGCCACCAGGATGATTAGAGGGCTGCCAGAGGCCCCGATCCCCGTTGCCAGAGCAGGAAGTGGAGTGCAGTCTGAAGCACCGCTCTGCTGAGAGGGTGGGAGGCATCTGGCAGGGGCCGGCTCGGCCGTGCGCACCACCGGCTCTGCTTAACTTGATTAATGGAGCTTCGGGCTCCCTCTGACCTCACCCGTCCAGAAATGGGGCGAAGGCACGGTCCTGCCAGGGGCCCAGCCCGGGAATGCTTTCGCACCCCTCCTCTTAGACATCACGCTTTCCAAGAGCAGGTGGAAGGTACGGCCTGAGTAGGTCATCCACCCCTTGGATGACTCACCAACCTGGCGCTCGTGGCCATTTTCACAGATGTGCGGTCATTGCCAGGCGGGACGGGCTGCCCTCTCCTTCCGCACTCCCGCTGGCCTTAGGATCCAAAGCTGTGTGTGGAGTTTCGTGTAGCCGGGCTCGGAGGTCCAGTGGGCACAGTGAGGTGTGAGGGCTGCGGAACCACTTACCCACAGGGACCAACCCACGGGGACGAACCCAGGCCTGGGGCTCCTCGGCCCTGGCCTAGCACAAGGCCGACACTATGATTGGCACCACTCTAGAGGCAGGTTTCAGTAGACACTTGGCTCAGTGGGAGCAAAGAAACAACAGAAGCTTCCCCTAATGGCCTCATTTCTACTCTACCCTGCTGGCTGAACTCAGTCCCCTGGTGGGCCCGAGGCCTCCCTTTGGGGGGATTCGGATGAGCTGGAGAAAATTCAGAGGACCAGGATACCCAGGTGAGCAGTGCTCAGGGAAGAGCTGCTGAAGTACCCGGGACCACCCAGCCCAGGGAACGAAGGCCCGGGGGACACATGGTGGCACGTTTCAGGTATCTAGAAGCTTGGCATGCAGAAAGGGGTGATACAGGTTCTGGGTGGCCCAAGACAGAAAACCATAGTCAGGGGTGGTGTTTTCAAGGTGGCAGGATTTGGAATCCCATCAGGAAGAAGTGCTGCTTGTCGAAGAGGAAGCTTGTTTCCTGGAAGGGCACTGAGCTGTCCCCGGAGGATGGCAAGCAGAGGCGGGACTCAGGGTAGGGCAACGGGGAGATCTAGCCCCGGGTGGAGGCTGGTCTGGTGCCAGGATTCTAGCACATGGCAGCCCAGGGGACAACAGGGCTGAACTGGCTGAGCCCGGCAAACCTATTGGGCTCACTGAGCTGCTTCCCCCAAGCACCCAGTGCAGGGACAAGAGCTTTCTTATCTTCATCACCCAAAGCAAAAGGATTATCACACTGGTGCCCATGATAAAGTCCCCCAACAAACCAGAATGTCTGGTGTCTTAGCTTTTGATTGAAATTCTGTCAGATCACTACAGACATTTGGTGTAGACTGGTTATCATGCTGATCTAAGGATCTAGCTGGCAAGCACAGATGTCTGTGCTTAATAAAAATGGGGGGAAAGTTATGACTTAATAAATGCAGTTTGTCTGCAAGATAAAACTAAGGCTTGAGATAATGAAAAAGCCATGCTGTGAAAAGTTTAGGGTGGCTGCCCGTAGCCTACCACGCCAGCCCTAAAACCGTTATCAAACACAGCTGGCTTCTTGAAGTGAACCCGGCCAGTCCCTACATTTCAACTTCACCCTGGCAAATGGCACCAGCCCCACGTGGGCCATGTCCCCCCGAGACACTTCTTTCTGCATGGTGTGGTCTACGCTATGTACTTACATACGCGGTGAACGAGGAAGAGACGAGTGGCCGAATGGGCACGCACACGGGGGTGTGAACTGGAGCCAGGAAGTGTGACGGAAAACGCGGAACTCCAGAGTTCTGTCCTTTTATTGAGCTTACAGTTTCACTGAACTTTTGGCCCCGAAAGAAAAAACACACAACTTAAAAAAACAGCATTGGCAGTGGGAGGTGACAACTGTCCCCTGGGGATTGAAGCCGAGCAGAGAATGGCAGGCAAGTGAGGGGTCCGAGCTGCAGAGGGGTAGCCTGGCCAAGGGTGCCCAGAGAGCAGGCGGTCCAAGCCCCCGATCAGGGCCAGCAGCCAGGCAGCTACAAGACAACACACGGGGATTTGGGGACACGGGGTGGTGGAATCCAAGCCACTTGGTCCCGCGGACAAACCTCCCTCGTGCTTGGTCAGCTTCCACTTTGGAGAAACTGGGTTCATCTGACAAGACGGTATGGGTGAAGGGACTCAGGTGCTAATGGCATGAGGCTGATGATCACTTACCCCTGGTGTCAGGGCGGAGAAGTGACAGCTAGAGGCTAGAGCCCAGCGGACTGGACACTAACTGGCATCTTCTGCTCCTGGCACGAGGCTGGGCCATTGAAATACTCAGGGCTCCAAGGGCATTCAACGTCCAGTCCTCTCTTTGGCCACCTCCTGTGTGGCCTCAGCCTAGGTCCCCGCTATTTGGTGACTGACACAAGACTCCCAGCCCTCTTCGGGAACAGCGCTGCATCAGGCAAGGGAGAATCTTTTTCTAGGAGGGACAGGAAAAGCGGAGAGGCCCGCATGCCTCTCCCGCTCTAAGGGGCCAGGAAAGGCCCCTGGTACACTCCACTCTACAGATGGGCTGGGTCATAGCATCCGAGAAGCTGTCATGGTGACGAAGTCCTCGAAGCTGAGCCGAATGGTGCCCTGTACAGCTGTGTCCTTCTCCCGGAAAGCCTCGGTCAGCACCTGCAGCTGGGTGCACACCTGGATGAAGCGGTCTAGCTGCATGGTGGGGTTGGCAGAGCGCGGGCAATAGCGGGAGACCAGGAGCTGGGTGAACTGGGGGCTCAGGTTGTAGCCCATTTGGGACAGAGCTGCAGGGGAGGGAGGGGCACAGAGAGCAGACACAAAACCTTACCACGAGCACCACCATCCACCAGCTCCGTGGAGCATGGCAGTGCAGGGGACTTGGAGGAGATGAGCGCCAAAACGGAGAGGACAGAGGTCCCTAGGGTCTGTCCAAGATGGTGGGAGCACAAAAGGGGCTCTAGCTGGATGGTGCCCTTAGCTGGAAAGCTCCCATCCCTTTCTCCAAATCTCCACTACTGCCTGTTCAGTCGGGGCCACGGGGTCCCAGAAGGACACGGGGCTAGCTCTTCTGTGACTCATGTGCATTACAGAAGGAAGCCCGCGCCCCCGGGACCAACCTTCCCGGGGCGGACATCAGAGGCGGTACGACAGAGTAGACATGACAAAGGCCTGCTCCGTAGTCGAGACAGCCCTTCAGCAAGTTGCTTACCCTCGCTAAGCCCCTGTCTTATCATCCCTAAAATGGGAATAATACTTACCTTGTAGGTTCTAGTAAGGATTAAAGGAGGTGATCCTATAAAGCACTTGGCGCGGTGCCTGACCCATAACAACACTTTGTTATTTGTTAAAAATAATCAAATCGTCTTCCTCTCCCCAGGCGAGGCTGCTGGGCAGTTCCAAGGTCACGGCCTGCGTGCCGCTCTCTGTCCCTCCACCTGGGAGGCTTCCTTTGTTCCTCTCTGCACATCTACCAGCCCAGGCTAAAAGCTCCCCTTTTGCTACGTGGCCCTTGGGGAAGTTGCCTAAACTAAGCCTCAGTTTTCTCACCTGTAAAGGGGCAATAATAAGAGATCCCTCACCTAAGAGTGGGGAACAATAAACAGTAGCTATTGCACGGGCAGAACAAGTGATGTAACATATCAGAAGCGCTTCATACAGTGCCTGGCACACAGCAAGCGCTCCGTAAGTACCGATTTTGGTGGAAACGTCACCCTCACCAATATCCGTGACAGGAGCCGGCATGATCAGTACAGGTCATCTCTGTTTCCTTCAACCAGGGCACAGACATGGTGAGCTCACCCCCACCCAGAGCTCCTCAGTCTGACTGAAATCCACAGTCAAGCAAGGAAGGGGCCAGGTTCTCAGGAGGCCCTTTCCCCCTCCCAGGTGGCAAAGCTCCCTGTCAGATTCTTATCACCCCACTAACCACCCATCTTGTAGAGTCCGAAATGGAACCAGACCTGGAGCTACGGCCTCAGGCCATCTTACCCGAATGCAACTTTTAGCGTGGTCTGGATCCCAGGGTTGGGAAGGAAACTGCCTTCTAGCAGAGCTGGTAACAAAAGCCACCTTTCTGAGTCCTTGTACAGGGCTCTTTCCATTCTGCATGCTAGAAACTAGAGAGGAAAGAGCCACACAGGCCACACACACTGGTCTCAAAGTGCCCTGGGCCGCCGAGCTCCCATCCCCGAGGCTCCCTGCTGGCTGGTCTCTCTCATCTAGTGGTACCAGGAGTCCAGCCCCGATCCCGGAACCAGGTGCCCTCTTGCCCTGGATCTTGGCTCAGTGCCCCAGCCTGATCACAGAAGGGATGGGGAAGGGACCCGTGCTGAGTTTTAGAGTGTAGGTGGACATGTGGGAGTCAGAGGCTAGAGAAAACCCCCTTCCCTGCATAGGGAGTAAATGGAAAAGTCTAGCTCTGCCTGTGCAGAGTCCCCACCGTGGCCCTCACCTTGCTGCAGCTCGGTGTAGCTGATGGAGCCCGAGCGGTCCCGGTCATACTGCTGGAAGAGGTTCTTCCACTGCTGGATGAACTTCCACAGAGCCGAGAAACCATAGATGTCGATGCGGCCTGACTTTGTCTTGTCAAACATGTCTTGGGTGGAGACGGGGTGGAGGGAAGAAAAGCTTCAAGACTGAGGGCCGAGGGTCCGCGGGTACAACCCAGGCCAGAGTAGGAGACTCCACAGAGCCACGGGCCCGAGGCCCAGATGCTCGTACCTGAGACACACTCTCATCAAGTGTTGACCAGCCCCTACCCTTGGCCACCCTCAGCTCTAGCCCTTCCAGAACTGCGTACTCTCTGTACGCTTGGCAGCTGACCACCTCTGTGCCATCTGCTACCAGGGCAGGGGGTCCCACTCTGCAGAACGGAAAACGGCATGTGACTCAGCGGGGTCCGGAACTTGAGAAAAGATCTCAGGGAAGGAGCTCTCAGTCTAGAGGATCTCACCTTGAACCCAACTTCCTGCCTGAAATCCTCCCTGGCAGGAAGATTTCTCTTCAGAATGGCTGCCCAGCCACCATCAGGTCTCAGGTGGCACTGCCCCAGCTCGAGCCCACGGGGAAGGGGCAGGACTCACTTATCATCATGAGGCACGTCTCGTCGTTGAACGAGGACCAGTTGGAGTTGACCAGAGCCTGCTTCAGCTCCTTGATGGAGATGTAGCCACTGTGATCAGAGTCTACGGACTGGAACCAGGAGTAAGCCTCAGGATCCATGTTGGGAGGAACACCACCTGCAGGAAGGGGTGCAAGCCAGAGGAATTAGTCACAGGTCTCAAGGCCAGTGTGAAGAAATACTGGGGAGGGCCGGCCTCGGTGCCTCGCTGGCGATGGGTTTTCCTTACCCACAAAGCCTCACAGGTCCACCGACCCCGTCTCCCCTTAAGCCAACAGCCTTGTTCTCATGGAAGAGAACCTTCGGTGCAGACTCAACGAGTATTTGCAGCCGGCTTCTACTCTGTGAACCTGCTGGGCTTTTCCTACAGTGTTCCAGTCATTTCTCTCTTTGATCTTAAGTTTCTAAGGAACAGGGACTTTCCGGCTGACTGAGAATTCTCTGCAAAGAAGGATTATCTCTTCCCCAAAGACCGGCAACCCAAAAACATTTGCTGAGCAGCTACCAGGCACAGCCCAGGGATGAATATTTTGAGAGTCACAGCAGCAAGGGGCCCTCTGGTGTGGGAATCAGGTCTGATCCAGGTCTGATCTTCCTGGCATGGTGACAGCTGACATATTCTATCAGGAGTCACCAGAGTGTGCGTGGCCACAGAACTCTACCTCTTCTTGTTCCCCATCACCTCCAACGCGAGGACCCATCCCCAAACCTCCCTGGAGACATCTCTGACACCTCCTCACCCCCACACACCCAGAGAGAGCTGCCCGGTTCTGTGAGATCCACACACAGGTGCCTCCTCCCCGTTCCGACGCACCTGCACTGGTTCAGACACCTCTCACGTGGATTGTTGTAACAAACCAAAATGCCTAACCAACCCATCCTTACAGCTACTCTCTGCCACCCTGTCCCTTTAGAGTCATCTCCAAAATTAACTCAGTTCTAACCCATTGCCCCTCGCCTCAACTCAAACCTCTTTCAAGGCTCCCCACCGCCTGCAAAATAAAGTCCAGCATCCTTAACACAGCATGCCAGGCCCTCCCGCAATGTGGTCCATTCTTGCCTACCTCTCGCGCTCTGTCCCCCTCGCAGCTCTGTTCCAGCCGAGGTGGCCACCCCTGCTCATTCCCACAGCGAAGGCTTTGCTGCTCCCCGCCGTGTAACCCTTTCTCCCTCGTCTCTCTGCATCCATTTCCTGTCTCCCTGCAACACCCAAATGAAATGCCGTTCCTTCCATAAAGCCTTCCCTATTCCTCCATCTCTGGACCGGCTTCCTTCCCCTCTCCTTTGTACTCCTTCTCTCGTTTTTTTTATTAGTTTTTAAAAACTTTATTTTTTTGAGAGACAGAGTGTGCACGAGTGGGAGAGGGACAGAGAGAGAGGGAGACAGAATCCCAAGCAGGCTCCGCACCATCAGCACAGAAGCTTGGATGCATGAACCGTGAGGTCATGACCTGAGCCAAAACCAAGAGTCAGATGCTTAACCGGCTGAGCCACCCAGGCGCCCCTGGATCAGGCTTTAGGAAGCGCTGTTCCAAGGAGTCACTAGCTGCACTGGAAAGGAGACAAAGGTGGCCACACGAGGGGAAGCCGCAGATGGCAAGCAGCGAAAGGTCTGAGGCACATTTCTCCTCTCTCTGCAGCCCTAGAGATGATCTCTGGCCTCAGGTCCTATGGGGATAAGCCTCCCAGAGAGGGGCTCCTTCCCCTGCAGTGACCTCACGTGGGCTCACAGACGAGATTTCAAAAGGACGAGGGACTCCGCCATGAAGCTGCTGGGCTGGAAGCAAACAGCCAGAAGCTCTGAGCTCTGACAAGATAAATGCCACTGCCTCGGTGTTTAGAACCCCCAAGGTGTGAGCATCTCCCTCGGGGCCGCCCGCCTGGGAACGAGCGCGAAGATGCCGCAGCCGCCCAGCGGGGCCGCTCCCTGGAGGCCGTGCAGGTGCGCCAGGGCGGTTCTAGGTGCCGTGCTGCTGGCCTGGTCTCCTGGGGGTAAGCGTTCTGTGAAGAGGCTGAGTCCGTGAGGACACAGGGACCCAGGCACTCCCCCTCCCTGACCCCCTGTCTGCAGCCACTTGGAAATTTGCACTGAGCCTGAGGCCGCCCACCAGGATTCTCTGCTTCCACTGGATCTCCAAGCCCCCCTCCCCGCGCCGCCGACCTTGTCCAGTACCTCACCTTCACTATCTTTGATCTTTATTCTCCCTGCGGCATTCCCCTGCCTGTCTCAGTACCTCTCAGTGGTAAGGCCCTCGTCACACGTGCTACCCCATTACATGCGGAATACCTCCTTGCTGAGATGTCCCCGAACGAGTCCTCTTACAGCACAGTGGGTACTAAGGCCTTCCCGCCGTGCCCAGCGTTCACCTGCACCTTCTCATCGAATCCTCATTAATAATCTCATCAGGTCGTGGCATTCACCCATTTTACGCGTGTGGACGATGAGGCACAAACAGGTGAAGTGATCTGGTCAGGTCAGTACGTGGTCTGGTATCAAAAGCCCGGGTTTTCAACAACTTCACTATCTTGCCTTTCTACACATAAGGGCCAATCTCCCTCCCCCAGAAATGGGTCCTCCCCGAGGTGCACTGCCTCCAGTTGTTTGCCGACTCCCCCGCCCCTCCCCTGTAAGAGTGCCGTACGCCCTCTCCACTGCCTGGTGGCTTGTGGAGCCCCTCCGGAAGAGGACTATCCATTCCCATCCTACTGATGGTAGGTCAGGCTTGACCAGGGGCTGTGATGGGGCCGACAGAACGCGGGTGGAAGAAGATGTAAAGAACTTCAGCGCAGGAACTTTAAGGGGCACTGTGCTTTCCTGCCAGCCCTCCCCATCTTTCCTGCCACATTCGCAACGTTATCTCAGGGGCTGCTCCTTCAGCCTGGACGTGGAAAGCACAGACATGTGGCCCAGAACCTCGGCAGCCAAATCCTCAGCCGCTGACACGTAAGCAAGAGTAAGTGAGTGCGAGCAGCGATAGAAATACACGTCTGCTGTTGTAAGCCGAAGTGATTTTGGAGTTGCTGTTACCACAGCAAGTTAACTAACACGTTCCTTGTTCTGCTGTTGCAAGCTGGAGCCAGAAGCAAGATGCTAGGGAGCCAGAGACGAGACTGCCCGCACACCCACAGGAAGGGCAAGGACAGGCCCCAGATAACTCAGAACAAGGTCAGAGGCACCTGGAGTCCAAGATCCCTACTCACCTGGAGGAGGTCCCTGTCCGTAAGGCCCGGGATGCTGGGCACCGTAGGAATTCGGAGGTGGCTGGCCATAGGGACCCCCTGGGGCCGCACTACCATATAGTCCTCCTGGAGTCCCAGGATTGGGGTGTCCATAGGGCCCTCCACCAGCCGGTGGTCCATAAGGCCCCCCGGGGGCAGGACCCCCGCCGTAACTGCCACCAGGGGGTACCCCACCGCCATACTGCCCTCCACCATGGGGGGGTCCAGGGTAGTAGCTACCCGGAGGGGCTCCGGGCGCTTGTCCTCCAGCTCCTGGGCAGCCCTGTAACAAGAGCAAAATATCCGTCAGAATGATAAGGCCAGAAACCAGCCACAGTCTGGCACTTTACAGTTACAAAGCACTGCCACTGCCACCGCCCTCTTGCAGCTGACCCCATAGGCAGGGCTGGAATTATGATCTCGCTGCTCAGACGGGCAACCTGAGGCTTCCAGAGAAGATAAAACTTAGGCAAGATCGTACTGTCAACGACCTGTGAAGTCAGGGCTTGCCCTCCTGGCTCCCCTTCCTCTCACGCCGAGGGGCTCCGTGGGGGCTGGGAGGGATCGTGTCTGGTTTGCCACTCGTATCCCCAGCCCCCAGTGCCGAATGGATGGATGCTCGGTAAATATTTACTGAACAAATGAGGAGGTGAATGAATCAAAATCCCAAATCCTCATCCTGTGCTACCTCCAGCCCTATGTGGCGAATTCACGGCGCAAATGTGATTTGCACCACACACCCCGACCCTCTTCGATCACAGACGCTGTATCGGCAGCATGGCTTCCTTATTCTAGAAGAGGCTGAGACACAAAAGCATCTCACTCGTGACTCTGGGAGACAGGCAGGGGAGACCCTACTCCTCAGGCACCATAGTGCGATCGGTAAGAGGCAAAAAAGACCAGTCTGACTTCAGGCTCTGCCATTTATGAACTGGACTCATGACTTACCCTCTCTAAGCCTCAATATCCTTTGCTCTAAGTGGGAATAAAAATAGCGCCTATCCCAGGTTGGTATGTGAACGAAATGACACCGATCATGTGAAGTGCCCGACCCAGGCCCTGGCACTCAAAACACATTAACTATTAATAACAGCACCGTGCTAGGCAGGAGGAAAGCCAGGTCCAGAAAAATCACGCATAGACCACGTGGAGGGGCTGGGACCAGGACCTGGGTCTCCCGGCTGTTGAGCCCAGGCCACGTGTATGGTAGCACACATACAAGGGGGTGCTCCCTCTCTTGTCCACGTCCCCACACCGCTAGCCAGGGACCCGCAAACTCCGAGTGTTCAGCTACAACTCCCTAAATGACAGAGGGCAGCCCCAGCACATCTGCAGACAGGCTGGGCTCAAAGGCATAGGGAGCAGCTGGGCCCAGCTCTGAGGAGGGTACCATCTGGACGTGTTCTAGATAAACCTGTAACGCACACCAGTGGACTAGCTGCTGAGAGCCTGGACTTCCTCTTTTTGTTGTGTTTGGTAGCTTCTGGGGCACCTTTCCTCAAGGCTAAGGCCAAATTCACACTTCATCTAAAGGAGGTCGGCTTGCTCAAGGAAGGGAGGCTTCTTGAGGGAGGGCAGGAAGAGGTCCTTCCACCTTCCCCAGTCGGCATCGTGGGGGCTTTTCCACCCTGGAAACTGCCAGAGCTAGCAGCAAGGCTCCTTCACGGTGAAATCACAGAGTTCTCACCGTGGGCCACTGGCTTAATCTCCCCGTGCCTGTTTCCTCACAAGTAAAATACAATAATCTCTCCCTCACTGGAAGGTTCTGCTGATTACAAGAAATACATGCAGCAGAATTTTGTCAGTTTAACTCTTAGCTAAAGACTCTTCTGATAAAATGTAATTTTAACAGATAAAAGCAAGTTGCTTTGGTAGAAGCGAGGTGGGGGTTTCAGAGCCCCGACCATGCTGGCCCCGTCTCTTGTCAGATCCTGAGGGAGCTCTGTAGAAACCTTATGGTGACTCGAAAGACAGTTTGAAAACCACTAAAGTGGGGCGCATAGGTGGCTCAGTCGGTTGAGCGTCCAACTTTGGCTTAGGTCTCACGGTTCACGGGTTCGAGCCCCGCACCAGGCTCTATGCTGACCGCTCAGAGCCTTCGGATTCTGCGTCTCCCTCTCTCTCTGTCCCTCCCCTGCTCTCACTCTGTCTCTCTCTCTCTGTCTCTCTCTCTCAAAACTAAACATTAAAAAAAAGAAAAAAGAAAAAAAAGAAAACCACCAATGTAAGAGAAAGAGTTCTCACAATAGTGCCTGGCAAAAGCAAACGATCTATAAATCTTGGCTGTTGTTATTATTATATTAATTATCACCGGCAAAGCCCTGGACCAGATAAATTCTTGGGGGGCGTGTATAAAGAAGCAGAACAGTCTGAAGGAGCAGTTAACTGAACAGTTAACTGAAGAGGCATGGAAACATTCTCCAACATCTAACAAAACAGCAGAAGGAAACGGGTGCTGCGAATGGATGCATAAGCCATGCGTCATGGGACCAGAAAGGAAAGAGGGTGAGATCAGGGGAGTTTCCAGGAGAAAGCCGCATTTGAGCTGGGACAAAAAGAAGGGAGTTGGAGCAGTGTGATGGGAGGGGTGCCAGGAGGTGGTCATCTAACCTAACCCCTTCAGTTTACGGATGGGGTAACTAAGGAAAGGGGAAGGGAACCGCTTGAATCACACAAATCACACGGAGCTGGAGGCAGAGGTGGAGGCAGACCACTCCCCACCACACCCGAGCCCAGTGACTCCCAATGCCTCCCGCTACAGTGCTCTTTCCTTAAACAATAGGGCACAGGATTCCAGCGTAGGATGAGAAAAGGGGTGGGGGCCCTGCAGAGACTGGGCGCACCCAAAGAACAGGCCAGACCAAGGCAGGAAGTAGCTGCTCCGCAACAAGCCCTGTGAGCAAAGCCATAAACCGGACCTGGCCTAGGGCACCTGAGGCACAGGCCTTCCCCCTGGGAAATGCCCCCAGGCCGCCAAAGCAGGTGTCGCCAGGCAGGTCTTCTGACCCTCCTGCTGTCACATTTCAGGGGCCTGCTGGGTCTGGTGCAGTCTGGCAGCAGCTAAACCCTTTCTGGTCTGCCCTGTGTTAGAGCCTTTACCTGAGCAGTTTACAGAGCACTTAGAGAGAGAGAGAGAGAGAGAGAGAGAGAGAGAGACGACTGCTCCTGGAAGAATCCTGCCAACAGTCCTCCAACAGAAAAAGGAAGATTTTTCACACCTGTGAAATGACTTCATTCAGCAAGTATTTATAGAGTGACCACACCGTACTAGGTATGGGGCGGGGCAAAACTAAATAGGGCCTATCCCACTGTGGCCCATAGTGGTTATGATACAGTTTGATCCGTGCCATCAGAAAAGTCTACTTAACTGTTATCAAGGAGACATAAACAGAGTAATTTGTTCTGTTCGTTGAATGACGGATGAGCAATCAAATGAAGAAATGCATGAAGTGGATCAAGGAAGGCTTCCTGGAGGAGGCAGGAGTGATACTGGAGGCGGCCTTGAAGGATGCGCGCGCATTCCCTAAAAGGAAAGCAGGAAAGGACATTCCAGAGAGGAGGGAGAAGATTGATGAAGGCACACATCTATGAGTGAGCACAGAGAGGTGGGGGAATGGCCTGAAAAGCAGGGGCGGGGAGAAGAATGCAACGTGAACTCAGGAAGGCTGGCTCTTTACACGCTCCTTGACCAAGCTCCCCTCCTGCTGCATTTCTGTTAGCTGGTGAGTTACTGGTGTCTTAAGGTATTTTCTGTCTGTCTCTGCCTCCTCCATGCAACAGTGGGCTCCCCGAGGCCAGACACTGGGCCTCATTCATCATGGTACCCAGGGTCCAGCACAGTGCCTGGCACCTGCAAGCCTCCATAAATATTTGAACAGATGAATACCACCCTAAAGAGTTTGGGCTTTATGCCTGAGGACACAGAGCGCCACAGAAGGGTTTCCAATGGAGGAGGGACGTGATCAGAGCGTTGTTTAGAGAATTAGCCAGCAGCGGGGTGGAGGATGAGCTAGCGGGGGAGGCAGCAGCCCAGGTGCTAGGCAGGCAGGGCTTGAACCAGACAGCGGACTTAGACATGGGGCGAGCAGGATGGGTTCTGAAGCTATTTCGGAGATAGGCTAGACATGACTTGACGACTAATTCGATTAGGGAGTAGATGGAGGGGGAAGGAAAGGGAAGTGTTTAGAATGACTCAGGTTTCCAGCGTGTACCCACGAAGAACTGGAGCCTCCAGGCTGCGGAGGAAGTTTGGGGAAGATGGTTTCCAGGGTCATGGAGTTGTTAGCGAAGGTCTGAACCAGACATGAAAACCGGAGTCCCTGACTCCCTGTTCTTTTATGCTACTCCATGCTGCCAACCCTTTTGAGGCTTTTTCCGAGAGCATTTCATGCTGATCGACACAAGACTGTGAAAGAAAGAAAAAGACGGGAGAAGTCCTGCAACCACGGTTCCCAAAGCATCACAGAAAACTATCCCTAGGTCTTTACTAAACGCAAATAAACATTTGACATACTGGGGCAGGGAAGGGGCAATTCACATTGTACTGAGGTTCTGCTAGGTGCTTCCAGTTCAACTGACCCTCACTGATCCTCAGTCCTGTGAGGAAGGGCTATTGCCCCCATTTTACAGAGGAGAAAATTAAGGTACAGAGTTTACTAATGTGCCTGGGACAAACAACTAGAACAGAGGAGCTGGGATTCAAAACGGGGCCTCTACTCTACCACCCTCTGCTGTGTTCACTCAACTGTGACTGAACAGGGACTGTCCTCCATGTAACTGTCAAATACGAGGGGTTTCTACAGTGGACAGGGCTGAAGCGGGAAGGTGGACTGGGTGATCTTTCAGACGCTTCAAGCCCGGAAATCAGGACTCAGAAGAATCTTACTCTTTTTCCAGCCCAGCGCCCAGACCTGATTTGAGAAGCACAGGACTGTAAGAGACCCCAAAGGCCCTCCGGTCCAGCCTCTCAGTAGGTGATGGAATCTCTGCTGCACCATCTTGAACCTCTGTTTGCATTCACGCAAGTAGTGGGGAGCTCAGCTCCCCCTACAGGACCGACTCAAGAAGCTCTGTGTTTTCCTTCGGCTCTGAGCATTCGTTCATTCTTCTACCCCCAAGACCCTCGTGGAGTTCGGAGATATCAAAGGCGGGTGCGTGCCGAGTCCTGAGGGGGAAGGGAGTAGGCAGGCTGCCTTGCAAACGGAGGCCTGTGCTCTGGGGCTGTCCCTCAAGTGTCTGCTGGAGGAAGCGACAGCCCATTCTAAGGGGTTAAACAATCAAGAAGACAGGAGTGGTCTGGGCATTCACCAGCAGAGCCTCCTAAAATATTTAAAAGGCCAGAAACCTGCAGCCAATAGACAGTGGGCCAAGAACTGTCCCAAGACTTCAATTACCGCCTCGGTGCTGACACTCCAAAATTGTCTGTCCAGTTCCATCTCTCCTGAGCTGCAGACCCACATATCCAACAACCTCCTGGATCTTCTCTCCAAATGTATCCCTCCCTCTGTGTCCCCATCTCAGCGAACAGTACCTCCCACCCAGTCACCCAAACCTGAAACCTGAAACCCCAGTGCCCTCCTGGGCACCTCCTCTTTCCTCCCCGCCATCACCCCAATTAGGCACTGAGTTTTCTCAATTCTACCTCCCAAACGCTTCTCAAATCCATTTCCACCAGGTCGCCGTTCTCTGTAATCAAGTTTGCTTCAACCACTTTGAAACTGGTCTCCCTGCCTCGTCTCTCCTACTTCAGTCCATTCTCACAGTGCCCCATGGTGCCAGCTCCAAAGCACAAAGGAGAGAAGACTCTTCAACAGCTCCCCTCATTAGTCAGGATGAAGTCCGCACTCCCTCGAAAGGCATACAAAGTCCTTTAGGATCTGGTCCTTGCTTACCTTTCTGGTCTCATTTCTTAGCCGTTCCCCCCTCTTCACTACATATCGATCTCCTGAAATTCCTCCAAGATATCGGGCTCTCTTTTCCCGACCTTTGTGCACGCTAGTCCCTTCGTTTTCTTCACTCAACTAATGCCGATTGGTGATTCAGCTTTTGGCTTAAATGTCACCCCCTCTAAGATTTCCTCACCCCCAGACTTAGTTAGATGTCCCTCCTGTGCTGTCCTAGTGCCTTACACTTACTCCCACTTAATACTTATCACGCCGATTCTACAATTTATCCATCTGTATCACTCTTTCCTTGGAGTATTTACTACATGCCAGACACGACGCCAAGCACTTTACGTGGATTATCTCCTTTAATCTCTACAGTAACTCTTGAGGTAGGTTCTCTTATGACCCCATTTTAAAGAAGGGAAAACTGAGCCTTGGACTTTTGCAAGAAACTTCTGCAAGGAAATGGCAGAGCAGGGATGTGCAGCCAAATCTCTCAGCCTCAGAGACCAAGCTCTTACTCACCAAAACCCATCAAGGCTGCCCCCCTCCCACCCAGGACCAAAGAAAGGGTCCTTGAGTTTTATGACTTTATGACTCCCAACACCCAGTCCATGCTTGAGGACCCCACGGCTGGAGGCAGTGGCAAATGAGAGGAGTTTTGACTCCCAACAATAGGATGGAATCCTCCAGGGCCACGTACTTACTGGGTGAAGCGGGGCTGGTGTTAACGAAGCCTTTGGATGCTCTAAAACAACCAGGCACTTTCTTGGAACACCCTGGACCAGGAGGGACAGGCAGAGAAGGGTATAATGGGGGGGATAAAAGCATTTCTTCTTCTATTCTAGACACATTTCTCTTCGGGCTCCTCTTCAGTATTTCACTCTGAGCATAAGCCCAAGCAGCATGGTAACAGCAACTGTGGGAGCAAGAGCCATCACCAGGCCCTGCACACCCTTGGTATCAGCAACGTGCCAAGCTCCCTGCAGGCCTCATCGTATTTTGTCTTGATTTCAGCCCTATGAAGGCAGAATCTTCCCTTTTTTTTTTTTCCAACTTTTTTTTTTTCAACATTTATTTATTTTTGGGACAGAGAGAGACAGAGCATGAACGGGGGAGGAGCAGAGAGAGAGGGAGACACAGAATCGGAAACAGGCTCCAGGCTCTGAGCCATCAGCCCAGAGCCTGACGCGGGGCTCAAACCCACGGACCGCGAGATCGTGACCTGGCTGAAGTCGGACGCTTAACCGATTGCGCCACCCAGGCGCCCCAGAATCCTCCCTTTTATCATTCCTCCCTTCCTAAAGGTGAGGAAACTGAGGCTCAGAGCCTGTAGATGGTTTGTCCAAAGGCACATAACTATTAAGTGCTAGAATTAGGATTCTAGCCCAGTTGTATCTAACCTGGAAGTTCAGGCTCTTAATTTCTATGTCATTGCCTCTAGGATGCATACAAATGAACTCCAGATGCTTATTAAGATGTAGATGCTTGGTTCCTTCCTGGGCACAGAATAGGTCTGAGGTGGAACCCAAAGGGGTGCTTTTTAAACAAGCTCCTAGGTGATCGTGACCCAAACCATCCACCGAGAAACAAGGTGTGATGGCAATGTTTTCTCAAACTGTGTTTCTCCAGAATACTAGTGTTACCAAAAAAAAAAAAAAGACCAGACATTAAAAAAGCGGCCAGTTGAGGTGGGGGTGGGTGGGTGGCAGGGAGCTCCATGGTTAAGTAAGTTTAAGAAATACTGCATATTCAGGGGCGCCTGGGTGGCTCAGTTGTGTCGAGTGTCTGACTTCAGCTCAGGTCATGATCTCACAGCTTGTGAGTTCGAGCCCCGCATTGGGCTCTGTGCTAACCGCTCAGAGCCTGGGTCTCCCTCTCTCTCTACCCTTCCTCCACTCATGCTCTGTCTCTGTCTCAAAAATAAATACATTAGGGGCGCCTGGGTGGCGCAGTCGGTTAAGCGTCCGACTTCAGCCAGGTCACGATCTCGCGGTCCGGGAGTTCGAGCCCCGCGTCAGGCTCTGGGCTGATGGCTCAGAGCCTGGAGCCTGTTTCCGATTCTGTGTCTCCCTCTCTCTCTGCTCCTCCCCCATTCATGCTCTGTCTCTCTCTGTCCCAAAAATAAATAAACGTTGAAAAAAAAAATACATTAAAAAAAAAAAATACTGCATATCCCAGTCCTCTCTGGCAGATTTACAAAGCATATTAACAAATTAAGAATTCAGAGATGCCCCATGTTGAATAAACTTATTCAGTAGTATTTAACAGACTATTTCCTAAACCTACCTAAACCACAGAATCTTCCTCTGTTAGCAATGCCTATTAACATTTCATAAGATCCAACAAATGGAATGGAACTTCAGAAACCCTGCTAGGTTATGCTTCCTCCTGACCTCAGCCCATGCCAGCCTTTTTTTTTTTTTTTTTTTTTTCCTACCTCTGCTAGATACGCAATGAAAGGAGTTCTAAGTTCTAGCCCTCACTTGCTACATGTGACCTTGAGCAAGCCACTTAACTTCTTTGGGCTCCTTCCTCAGCTATAAATTGGGGATAATAATCTCTGCTAGAGATTCGGCCTACAGGACCTTCATCGCTGAGATAATAAAGGTCCAAATACTGTGTACAAAAGCCACAGAGTGCCGCACTTCCTCGCCACTCTTTCGGCGCGTGACTATACTCAGCGGGGTGCTAATATCCCATATATTTGTTTTCCAATTTTCCCTGCATGGGTTTTGTCTCCTAAATTAGTATGACCTTGGGCAACTCGAGAGCCCTCCCTGGGCTTCGGTTTCTTAAAATGAAGGTATTTGAGGAACCCCACCCCACCACTGGCTTTCTAGGAGTGTAGAAAAAAATCAAAATAGTTACACTTTTAGAACCACCAAATGCTTTACAAGCATGACTTCATTACTCTTCCTAGCAGCTCTATGAAGTAGACCCTATTACTGCGCCCTATTTTACTAAGGGGGAAACAGGCTCACAAAGGCAATACACCCTTGCCTAGCTGCTCAAAACTATTTAAGTGATAGAGCCAAGGTGTGAGCTTTCCTCTGACTCCAAGCTGAACTTTAACCACTCTACCAATCTGTCGTCCAACAAAGGATTCTGGCGACAGAATCCCCTTGCTGTGATGTTCTTGGCTGGATCAAAATGGGCTGGAGGTGGGCAAGGGCATGTTGCTGAGGCTTCCGGGTTCTGCTGCCTGCCTAGAGACTTCAGATGAGTTCTGCCTTCTCTGGGATTCACTTTTCCTACGCGTGAAACGGGAAGTGTGAGACTAAGTAAGCAAGGTCACTCGTGGAACCCGCGAAAACCACAGATTCTCCTGATTGTTCGCATGCAGTATGTCAGGGTGTGTTTTTCTCCGACGTCCCAAACGATGCCGACGAAACCAGTGCTCTCAATGTTCTGTTGGCGTTGGTGAGGCCGCAGGGAGCCCCCGCGGGACTCCTGAGAAGGTGTGGGGCCCAAGCGGAGCCCAGCCTGGTTACGTGGGGTCCAAGGTCCCCAAATCCTCGCCGGCGCGACGTCAGAGGGGGCGCGACGCGACCTCCCAGACCTGTAGCACTGCGTGACGTGAGACGGGCGCGACCGACCAGCCCTTTTGCCTTCTCTCCCGCGCGAGACCTCACTGAAGCCAGCTTCAGCGTGGGAAGGGCGCGGAGAAATCCGGGAGAAAGCAAGGCAGGGCCGGGGCCTGGATTCGGCGAGGCCCCTCCTGGAATCGCCCGCCCCCCACACTCACCTGCCCGTACGGGTAGCTGGCCATGGCGACTCGACGTCACACGCCGGCGTTGGGCGGAGCTTCCCGGTCCTAAACCTGCCCCGCCTGGGCCTGGGGGGGCGGGCACGCTTCTAATTGGGTGTCCGTCGCTGTCTATCTTGGGCGCACGGGCCGTCGGGAGTGAAGCTACAGGGCGATGGTCGGGTGCCTCGCGGAGAGGCCCGAGGAGCTAAGGGCTGGGTGGAGGTTTCCGGAAATCTTGTTCGCTGTGTTCGCGGTGCTGTTGCTCCCTTTCCTGACCTAGCCTAGGCCCCAGGACTGCTCAGACCCGGGTATTTGGTGAGAAGCTTGGGTCGGTTGTTGCAGTGGTGGCCATGTTTTAACCTGGCAAATGGGACGCGTGATAGTGGTGTAGTTTCAGTTGTCAGTCACTCTTAAGTTTCCGCCCGCCGGAGGAGGGCCCAGGCGGTTGCCGTGACAACGGGAAACAGCCCCAGGCCTCCTGGAAAGGATGGAGGCAACAGCGAAGTACTTCGCTCTAATGTCAGGACACCATGTGCCAATTAGTAGGTTTGGAGTGAGATTTGTGGTCTTTGGAGAGGAAAATCCCTCGCCGTCAGAGGAGGAAAATTAGATCACGTAGGGTCTCTTCTTTCCTAAAATGGGGATCCTAAGGCCCAGAGAGACAGTGACTTGCCCTAGTTCACAGTAGGTTGGGGCAGAGGTGGCCTAGAACTGGTGTCCGTGGATGCCCATTTCTCAGCAGGGAAGCCTTGACTGGTCCACAAAGTCAAATCCTGGTTACTAAGTGACCGCATATAGTCGTACTTACTTGGTCTTGGTGGTTTAGGCTCTACACTTGTTTGCGTGCTTATTTGACTTATTTGTTAAGTTCTTCCATGTGAGCGTGGATTGTGTGTGGTTTTGCTTGTCATAGCTCCTGTACCTAGTACAGTGCCTGGCACTGTAGTTTTTAAAAACTCAATAAAGGAAGTGTTACGAAGTGCTATCCATTCCAGCCCATCTATCTAACCATCTAGCCAGGCATTTTCCAAAATCATTGTGCTGATCATGCTATTTGCCCACTGGGCAGCCTACAATGGTTCCTCTTCATCTGCACCTACAAAAAAGGCCCAGCCTCTTCATTCTGGCACCCCAGGCCCTTCACAATGTGACCCAGTCTCATTGGCACTTGGTCCTGTCACTGTGCTGTAGTCCAGCCTGCCTCATGTAAGAGTTCTCTTTGGTGTTTTCCCCAAAACTCATTCCTCTCCTTCATCTCAGAAAATTCACCCAGACTCCCAGGCCAGAAACCTAGGATTGTTCTAGGGTGGCCTCTGTTTCTCCACATATTTTCCCATTTCCATTTGCTCTGCTTCCAAAGTAGACCCACATCTACTCTTTTCTCCCTGTTTGCACTAGCACTTTAATCCAAGACTCCGTCATCTGTGGCCTGCGTCACTGCAGTAGCCTCATGGTCAATGTCCTTGCTTTCACTCTCTCCCCACACTCTATTCTTCGTGGAGCAGCCACAGTGTTTGTCTTATATGTACATTAGATCGTGTTATTCCTGGGCTTACATCCCTCCAGAGGCTTCCCATACCTCTTAAAATAAAAGCTAAACACAGCCTTATGAACTTCATGGCCCCATGTGACCAACACCTTGCCTGTGTCTCCAGCCTCACTTCCTGCTCCTGCTGTCCCCCTCTGTTCCAGCCATGCTGACCTGGTCTTCACCCATGGAACTGAGCCCATTCCTACCTCCGGATTTTTGGATTAGCTCTTCCCTCTGTCTGGAATGCTCCCGCCTTGACTCTTCACTGGCTGGCCCCTACCTTGCCATCCAGGTTTCGGTTCAAATATCCCCTTGTGGGGATAGGGACATTCCTTGACACCACATCTAAAGCAGCACTGTTCCCCCACATTCTAGTCATCTATCATCTCACACTGTTTTAGTTTTTCATACTACTTGTCACTGTTTGAATGTCCTATTTAAAGTTTACATGCATACTGCAGGATTGTTCTTTTCTTATTCACTCCTGTATCCCCAGTGCCTAGAATAGTGCCTGGCATGAATTTAATAAATGTTATTAGACATCACCATCATCACCGTCATCCTGTATTGAATGCTAACTATGCGCCCATTGTTGTGCTAAGTACAATGTGTTGTTTTATTTCCACTACGGCACTTTGAGATAGATATTTCTGCTCGTTTATAATGAGGAACTGAGGCTGAAAAGAGGCTACGTGACTTCCTTACTATCAAAAAGATAAATGGAGAGGTCAGGATTTAAACCCAGGTGCACATCTTTTGACTACTCAGTACTTAGTAGTCTTGTCTTAACTTTGTAAACTGCCTCCCTTTCACCCAGTCCCCCCCAAAATGGGTAGAATGGAATTGCAAAATCTCAGAAAGGCAGAAGTCCTGCAGTGTGGGCTGAAGGTCAAGGGGTATTTGCTGGGAGAGAAAATAGCTGATACCTGGGCGGCAAGATGCACACTCATTTCATTCCACAAAAATATGAAACCTATTGCATTCCCACCCCTTGCCAGGCTCTGTTCTAGGTGCTGAGGATTAAATGTCTATGAAAATCTCAAACCCCTAACCCCCTCTGCCCAGCAAAGTGTTCCTAGGAGAACGTTCTGTTGGATGTCTGTGCTTTTTTAGGGGCAAGATTGTCCAAGTCCTCTCTCAGGTACTGAGACCAGCCAACGCCAACATCCAGGGCTGTGCCTCAGAGGACGTGGGGCAGGTCCAGGTGTGTTTATTTTGGAGCACGCTGGATAAAAGGGGGATCAGGATCTTCCAAAGACCGAAAAACAATCAGCTCATTTCCAAAACCTCAACTACCTGAGGCAGACAGAGGTGGGTGGGGAAGTTCCTGTTATTGTTTCAGCTTCAGCCAAAGGGGAACACTTGGATTCCAGTCCTTTTGTAAAGCACAGAGCACTTTGCTGAGTTCGTGGGAGCTCTGTGGTTGACCAGTTAGAGGTGAGGCAGAGCTTGGTAATGGAAGGGCCATCCACTGGAAAATATCACCTCCCCTAGGGACACATCATCCGCCCCCCACCACTGCCCCCTGGCATCCTGGCTCAGCTCCAAGCTCCAGTATTGCTTACTGAGAAGGAATACCAACGGTCACCTAATTATTGTGGAATTAATTCTCTTTGATTCCGACTAGAGCCAGTCCTGAAATTTAAATTGCAGTCGGATGCTGTGGAGGAGAGGTTGATATGCAGCTTTCCACAGAACCAACAGAAAAATGAGAACAGCAGACGTGGCATTTTGGCCACACTTCTTTTCCATTATGGGATCATATAGAGACTACATTGATATATTCTATTCCCATAAATTATTCAGGACAACAACAAAAAAGCTAGTCTCGTAATGGGGCTCACAGACCACATGTGAAGAAAGCGTCTAGATTCTGTTGAATTCTGGTGACAGGGGAAACTATTAATGACAAAAAAGGAAGGTTTGAATTCCAGAAGGCATCAAATTGGGGATTTTTCTCTGCGGAAAGAGTGTGCAGCAGCCTTTTCTCCCTCTCGCAGAGCGGAGCGTTTCTCACATTCTCACTTTTCAATTTGCTGCCAGTGAAGTCCCCAGCAGGCAAACCTGACCCAGCGGCCCCCTGCATAAAACCCTTGTCTCCCGCTGCCTGTGCTGCCCACCATCCACATTCCAACCACAAGACACGGTCCCCCTGTCACTCAGCACGCTGTGCTTAGCCACCTCTGGACCTTGGCACATGGTGTTCCCTCTGCTTGAGGTCCCTCAGCCCTGCGCTCCCCTGGCGCCTGGTTGTAATTGCTTGTTTTCCGTGGGTGCGGGGGCCACATCTCTCCTGTTTGCCCCGGACTCCCTGTGACAGTTCCTGGCACAGAGTAGTGAGAGAAAACAGGCTCACCAAGTTAGATGTTACCAATTTGAATGATCTGTATGCTGCCTTTATTTTTTTTTTAAGTTTATTTATTTATTTTGAGAGAGAGAGAGAGAGAGAGAGAGAGAGTGCATGTGAGCGGGGGCGTGGCAGAGAGAGGGGGAGGGAGAGAATCCCAAGCAGGGTCCCTGCCGTCGGTGCAGAGTCTGACATGGGGCTGGATCCTACGAACCGGTGAGATCATGACCTGAGCCAAAATCGAAAGTCAGACACTTTACCCACTGAGCCACCCAGGCGTCTCTGTATGCTGCCTTTAAAGCCTGGAATATACTGAGAAATGAAGACCAAAGAATAACAGGGCAGGAATGTGAGAGAGCCGCCTAAAAGGAGTGGAAATCTTACGCCCCTCCTTTCTTTCTCTTCAGCTTACCCAGCTCCCAAACTTAAGAGCAAAATCCATGGATTTTTTTTTTTTTTTTTTTTTGCTGACCACAGTAACAGAAGAGACTATAAAATCCAGCTTTCCATCTGGTTCTTCATGGTCCAAGAAAATAGAGCAATTCCAAACTCCAGGGAGACAAGCACTCAAATCACGACAGCTTAAACCAGCCTGTTATGCACTCCCCTAAAGAGTAGCATGAATTTGACTCTGGAAGAAAAGGAAAGAAAGCCTCATTTACTATGCAAGGATGGATTCCCTGGGGGCCCTCAAAGGGGGATGCGTGTGACGTTTCCCCATAGTAACATTCCCCTCTGGCCTTCAAAGCCAATGTGCTCAACCCAACAGCTGGTCCTGCTTTTCTCTCTCTACTCACGCCAATGTCCTTATCACGAGGCCAGTCATCAGTTAGCGCTTCGCAGACTGGGCCGAAAGTGGAAGCGGGCCTTCCAATGGGAACGCTTTAACATCTGTCCTCATCCACTGTCCAATGCTGGCTGCTACTTCAATGCAAATATGATGCGTTTGCTTTTTCATGTTTTATGTTAGAACCAGGGTTAGCTGAGAATTGCTGATGAGGGACGAAATAAGAATCGGCACCTCGTTAATCTGAAAGCATCATGGGAGACACCGAGGCGTGCTCCAGAGCCTGCCTGATATCATTCCCCTGGCCACGGGCACACCTCTGCTCCTGGCAGGAGGAAAACAGGGCAGAGGTTCAGAAAAGCCATCAGTGGGCTGGTCTCCCGGCATTTGGGGCCCTACTGGAGGAGGGAGTTTTCAGAACTATGCTGGACATGCCAGCTCCGGAGAGATGACAGCCAGTT